GCAATTTAGAGGATACCATCTGCTTGCTCTATTCGTGCACAGAAGGATGTCATTGTTTGACATGCAGTCACTTGAGATATTTTTCCAAATTGCTGCTTGTGAGGCATCTTTCTCTGAACCCAAAAAGTTGGGTACTACTCAGAAAATTATACCAACTACACCAACCATTAGTGAAGGCGACACGGATGACCTAAACCTATCAAAATTTAGGGAAGAATTTTCTTCAGTTGGATCTCAAGGAGATGCAGACGATTTTTCTGCACAAAAGGATTCATTCAGTCACATTTCAGAGCTTGAGAACACTGACATGCCTACAGAAACTTCTAATTGCGTCGTCCTTTCAGATGCTGACATGGTTGAGCATGTCTTGTTGGATTGGACTGTATGGGTAACAGCCTCAATCCCAATTCAAATTGCTCTACTGGGCTTTCTTGAAAACTTGGTTTCGATGCATTGGTACAGGAATCACAACCTGACAATTCTCCGTAAAATTAACCTTGTTCAACACTTGCTCGTGACTTTGCAAAGAGGTGATGTTGAAGTTCCTGTGTTAGAGAAGTTTGTTGTATTATTAGGTGTGATTTTAGAAGACGGGTTTCTTCCATCTGAATTGGAACAAGTTGTTAGGTTTGTGATAATGACATTTGACCCCCCAGAGCTTTTGTCACGCAGTCAAATCAACCGAGAGTCCATGGGAAAGCACATTATTGTTAGAAACATGTTGCTTGAGATGCTCATTGATCTGCAGGTGACCATTAAATCAGAAGAGTTGCTCGAGCAGTGGCATAAAATTGTTTCCTCAAAACTTATTACTTACTTTCTTGATGAAGCTGTTCATCCTACAAGCATGAGATGGGTAATGACTCTTCTTGGGGTGTGTCTTGTATCTTCTCCTACCTTTGCACTTAAGTTTCGCTCAAGTGGGGGGTATCAAGGTTTGACAAGGGTGCTTCCTAGCTTTTATGATTCCCCTGATATATATTATATACTATTCTGTCTGATATTTGACAAGCCAGTATATCCAAGACTTCCTGAAGTTCGCATGCTGGACTTTCACGCGCTTATGCCTAGTGATGGAAATTATAGAGAGCTGAAATATACAGAGTTGTTGGAGTCAGTGGTTGCCATGGCAAAGGCGACTTTCGATAGGTTGTGTGTGCAATCTATGCTAGCTCATCAAACAGGCAATCTTTCCCAAATTAGTGCTGGCATTGTGGCAGAGCTTGCAGATGAATATACAGACTGGTCAGGGGAGCTTCAAGGCGAAGCTCTTGTGCACAAGACTTATGCCGCACGCTTAATGGGTGGAGAGGCTTCAGCCCCTGCTGCTGCTACATCAGTTCTGAGATTCATGGTTGATTTAGCAAAAATGTGCCCCCTGTTCTCTGCAGTCTCTCGGCGTTCTGAGTTTCTTGAAGCTTGTATTGATTTATACTTTTCTTGTGTGAGGTATGTCATAAAATGGCAGTCTTTATAATTGTTGAAAAAACTATTGAAAAAACTAATAATCTATGTTTGACATAGATCTTGTTTTCTATCCTGACTCAAGCTGAATATTGTATAGGGCTGCTCATGCTGTTAAAATGGCAAAACAACTCTCTGTTACTGCTGGAGAAAAGGCACTTGATGATGGTGATGAAACTTGTAGCTCCCACAATACATTTTCAAGCGCACCTCATGAACAGGAACTATCAGGCAAGACCTCTCTAAGTTTGGGAAGCTTTCCACCGGGACAAGTGAGCTCCAGTTCTGAAGACATGTCTATTTTGCCAAACAATGGTACTGGAGATGCAGGAGAGGTCACTATTTCTTCATACCAGAAGGATTTGAAAAAAGATGCAAAGGACGATGTACATAATAGTGCTACTCTGAATGGTGAAGTGGCTGATCTTTCCTCCACTATTAGCAGCAACAAGTTCAACTTCCGTGATATGAAGATCACTCTAGATCCTATTGCACAATCTGAGTCACAGAGTTCAGCATCCTTTACAAACATTGGATCTCCTGTTTTTTCTGAGAAATCCTTTTCTAAGACCCCATTAGCAACTTATTCATCGCCAGTAGTTGCATTGACATCTTGGTTGGGTGGTGGTAATCACAACAATGATAATAAAGGCCAAATTGTTTCTACTCCGTCCATGCTGTCCTATGCATCCTTTAGTGATATTGATTCATCGGCGGACACAAAATCGGGCTCTCAAGGACATTATTCTGCCAGCTCAGTATTCACTATTAGTTCTAAACTAATGCTAGAAGTGGATGATTCGGGCTATGGTGGTGGCCCATGTTCTGCTGGAGCCACTGCTGTTTTAGACTTCATGGCAGAAGTTTTATCTGGGTTGTTGACTGACCAAATGAAAGCTGTGCCTACCATTGAGACCATGCTGGAGAACATTCCATTACATATTGACGTCGAATCTGTTTTGACCTTCCAAGGATTGGTGCTTATTAGATTGATGAACTTCTTTGAAAGGCGTCTCTTGCGTGATGATGAGGAAAGTGAGAAAAAGCTAGATAAGAGCCGTTGGTCTATGAATCTCGATGCATTGTGCTGGTTGATAGCAGACAGAGCATATATGGGTGCTTTCCCGCAGCCTTCTAGTGTTCTGAAGACTCTGGAGTTCTTGTTGTCTATGTTGCAGTTGGCGAACAAAGATGGCCGTGTTGAAGAGGCCACACCAACTGGAAAGGGGCTCTTATCTATTGGAAGAGGAAACAGGCAACTTGATGCTTATATACATGCAATTTTAAAAAATACAAACCGGATGATTACTTTCTGCTTCCTTCCTTCATTCTTGATAAACATAGGAGAAGACACACTACTTTCAGGTTTAAGCTTGCATACTGAGTGCAAGAAGAGAGTTCTTATTATGTACTCATCACCAGAAGATAGCGGAGTTGATATTTCCACAGTGTTGCAGCTGCTAGTTGCAAACAGGCAGATAATATTCTGTCCTAGCAATATTGACACTGATATAAATTCCTGTCTTTGCATAAACCTAATTTCTCTTCTCCGC